CCAGGGACTGGGCTGATGTCCCAAAAGGCCTCTTCCAGTCCTGTGCTTCTAAGGACCAGTTGCCTTACTTGTCTAAGACTGTTTTTGTGAGTCCTATTGGCTGGATAGACAAGTGGTACTTGCAATGGGATGGAGTCTTTGAGCTAAACTAAAGAAAGGTTTGAAAGGCTGGGTAAGTCAAGCTCCAAACCCAGGTTCCCAACTTGACAGCTGATTCCCCATTTTTCTGCTGGGCTGAGCAAGCCACCTGAATTGTATGCAGATCTGGATTTGAATTTAAATGACTTGGGGCCTACTCCTAATTAAAAAGAGGCCTCTTCTCATCTTGCACTGCTCTAATCTTACTGTAGGCAAGCACTCATCCTACAGTTGCTGCCTGCAGAGTAAAGGGAGTCCTCATTCATTAGCTTCCAAGTGGATGATACCCAGTGCACAGAGCCTGCCTCTATTCATGCACTTCCTCCCCTGATTGTCCTTCAGTCTCAGTTGTGGGAAAAATCATTACTGAGCTTTTTGTTCCTTTAACTCGGATGAAAGCAAATGCCATTTTGGCAGGGCCTGGGGTCTGGATAGAAGTTACAGTGCATTGTTCCAGTGTAAGGTAAGGTGGAGAAATGGCTTCCATCTTGGCAATATCAGCCTCCTGCTGTAATTCCAAGTAGCTTCTAGTTTTTAGCCTTTCCTTCAGACATCAGAGGCCTCCCGATAGGACTAGAACGTAATGCTGTTATTTTGCCTTCAAAGCCTTTCTGAGAGGTGTAGCTTGACTCCCTGTGTGCAGAGAGGCATCAATTATGATGCTCTATAGAAAACTTTATAGAAAACTTTGCATCCATTAGAAAAATTTCCACCCCCATTGAGCTGGGCTTGGCTGTGACCTTGCAGAATGGTCCTGGATCTCATTATTAATCAAAGGTGGTGTCTGAAGTGTTATGATTGGAGAATGGAGTCTCAAAAACAAATGTTGAGCTACTTTTATGGGAGAAGCTTTATCGTGGACCAAGGAACCTGTGGGAGGAGCACAGAAGAATTTCTGGGGATCCCTCAGATGGGCCTCAGTAGTGCCCAGGTCTTCTGCTGGCTTTCTGCACAAAGCTCGTAGTGGTGAGCAACAGGGGTATACATGAGGTGGATGAGAGGATTCAGCTGTTCTTCCGAATTAGAGCACTAACAGGAGTTCCTAATGGTGCAGAGAAGCAGAAGGCAGACAGGGTTCTTTGGGTAAATCTGATATCTTTTTAGTTGGTCTAATAAAAGATATCGGATTTATCCAAAGAACCTTGTCTGCCTATGTCCTTTGACCAACACGACTACAACCAACACCAGAGAAGCAGAAAGTATTTGTCACATCCTCTGCAGGAAGAAACATGGTGTTGGTTGCTGCAGTAACAGTAATAATAGTAGGAATTCTAGTGGCCGCAGCCACCTCCCTTTCCATCTCCAGCTTTCTATTATTAAAAGTATGAGTGAATTTAGGCGGGGATTTTCAAGGGAGCTGAAGGCTGGTAGATGCTCAAAGCTTTCTGTCAATGGGTTTTGGATGTCTAATTCCCCTGAAACCAAAAGCCTGACTCCTAAGGGATATTTTGATGCCAGCCTTGAGGTTAACAAAAATGGGAAGATTTGATTGGGATGAAGAGATTACTTATGCTAAACAAACTTCTCCTGTAGGTCTGCTAGTATGCCTCAAATCTGGCTGCCATGTACCTGCTATCACAGCCCTGACCTGATGTAGTCCCGATGCTCCTGCACAGGGATCCTTCTCCTTGGAAATTGTCCCAGTTGTGCAGAACTGGGTGTTGGTATGTTCAGGTCTCTCATCCTTCACCAGCTGGCAGGGTGTGCGTGTGAGGAGCCTTCCCCCTAAATAACCCAGGGGCAGTGGAGGCATTAGCAGCCTTCCTGACGGAAGTTAAACAAAGAAACATTTTTTCTTTAACACATCAGGCCCAGAAGCATGTGCTTGGTCCTTTGTTACCAGCAAATCTCCACTGAGCATAAGCCAAGTCGTCACATGAGTTATCTGTCCTTAATATGCATATGGAGCCCTCTATTATCTAGCTCTGAGTTGGTTAGGAAATTATTTTCTCTCTATGAAAAAATTTAATGAACACAAAACTGTTTGTTTTCATTCCCTTTTCATCAAACACTGAAAATTATGGACCATTTTCATAAAAGCTGCTGTTTTGTTGGGAAAATATTTCAATGGAAAAAATCCAACTGCGTCTAATCTAGGAGCTCTGATTCTTTTTCCTTTCTATTGGGATGGTTTTGGCAGGGATGATTCTGTCTTGAGCTGGGGGTTGGACTAGATGACATTCTGAAGTCCCTTCTAGCCCTGTATATTGTCAATGATTCTGTATCCTATGTGATTTTGATGCTGCCTTTACGTCTGTGGAGCTCATGGATTTAGCAGAGTGACTGTGGACTTGCAACAAGGTGACAGCAGGATCGGTGCCCCGGTCTCGTATGGAAATAAGAGTTACAATTTCACAACAGTCATAATATGGCATTTCATCTTGATCAGACTTATGGGAAAATGTTGGGCTCTTACATAAGCAAGGGAAGCCTGCAATTAATTTATAAAAGAGTGGGTGTTCGTCTTCTCATTACTGTGACTGTGTCATATTAATAACGTGGTACCAGGAAAGCGTATGATAGGAGTCAGCCAGAGTGACTTCTCTGCAGAGGTGAAGAACATATGAAGGAAGGAAAGGGTGGGGAGAGAAGGGAGGAAGCATGAGATGTGTTTGTATGTCGAAGCGCATCTAATACTGAAGAGGACATCATTATGTTACTATTATAGATGCACCAGTCAGGAATCATTCCTTTCCTGTAGGTCACACACTCTATAGCCAGGTCCATCCAGAGGCTGGTTCAAGTGTAAATCAGGGCAAATTTGCCCTTTTCATTTTGTTTCAGTAAGTGAATCTTGGAATCTCTGATACCAACTTCTGGGCTGCTGAACACACATATAGAAGAGAGGCTTGTTAGTGGGCTATTTGGGTATTCAGAAGCAGAGTTGGTAAGATCAGGTCTGTGAAATACACCCTCATTTTGTACTGTTGGATATATGTTATTCCTTATGCTGCAGTGAAAACAACACATGCAGCCGTTACGAAAAGCCATGATTCCATTAGAGGTTTGGATGGTACCAGAACCACAGGAGCAGAATTCCTCCTGGGCTGGGTGGCTGTCTGTTTGGGAGATGCTTCAGTAATACCATGGTCTCAGCTGTAATAAGGTGTGTGGACTGTGAGCTGCTGGTGACTCTAAGGTTCAGCATTGCTATCACAGAGGCCCTGAAGAACCCTAGCACGTGCCTCTGTGTGTGTGCGTGCACGTACATGTGTGTGTGCATGCATGCATGCATGCATGCTGTGACTCCAGATGCCTACAGCTGTGTGTGTGTGTGAGAAATCACCTCTCCCCTGTGGGAGAGAACCGTCTCCTCTTATGGGTGGGGAAAATGTCTCACTTGAAAACTGATCCATGCACTGACCAACAGTTCTGTTGAAGGGGCTTCCATAGAGTAAGGAGGGAGGTCTACCCTTTCACAGAAGCTGGGGGGCTAAGTATGACTGGGCTGTGTCTGTGTGCTTGGCAGAGCCAGCTACGTGCAAGACAACTCTGCTAACCATGTCAACAGCTAGGTTCAGTACGTGGGAAAACAGGGTGGCATTTTAATTCTTTATGTAGATTTGGTTCTTAATCACACTCCAAAGAGAAACTCGTTACAAAGCTCTGGGCCCCTTGACTCACAAGAGCAAAGATTATACAAAGTGAGCAATGAAGAAAGTAGACACTGCCTTTGTTTTTCCCAGCCCACCCTGGAGTAGCCAGTCGCCGGTCTTGTGCCTATGTTATACTTTCACACTCCTTGTCTTCCACCATCTCGGCTCTTGGCCAGTTTCTAGTCTGTGACAGGTTCAGAAGGTCAGTAAATTCAGTTGTTTGAAACTCCTTAGGCTGTGATCACCTCTCTTCTCCAGTGCTACCGCTTTCATTTGCTATTTTTCTCTTCCATGAGATGAAGAAGTCCTCATAGCAAATGTTTCCTTTTCACATGGTGACTCCCAGACAAGTTAAATGATGACCCATCATCAAGAATAGCTAATCATTATGTCAAGGCTAACAGGGCTGCAGTGGTGGCTGCTGCTCTAAGGGGATATTCAGAAATCATGGAAGCAGTACAGGCAGTTCCATAGACAAGGCTCACTTCTGTACAAAGTTGCAGTGGTGTATGTCTGCAAAAACTCCATTACAAGTATGTTCCCTACATGTGTTTGTAGTAGTTGGTTAACAGGATGCCATCAGTGCTGCCATGATGTGTTGTGGATGTATCTTCAGGCCAAATATCTTGTTTTTATTTCCAATGCAGAAAATCAACAACTCATTTTTATTGGAATCTGTGTACTGAGCCTCAAGCACTAACACCAGGAGGACTTTTGGATGGAGCCTTCATAAACAATGAACTGGATTCTGATCTCTTTTATACCCATGTGAAATCCACTGAAAAACTTACCATAAGGGAGGTGGATTCCAGTCTGGAGTTTGTCTTATCTAGGCATATTTTCTGGTACTTCTCATAAGAGTAGGGGATTGTCCTGGTGTCTTCCCGGAAAGTCTTCTCTTCCTCTGTTGTGCAGCCTGATGTTTCCAAGTTGGCTGCCATCCTTCATACAGTAGTGGCTGCATTTTCAGGATGCTTCCTGCCTACAATCTGCAAAGTGATTTGGGGTGCATATCAACATATAGATGAGCAATATTAATTGCTGTTGTCACTGAAATAGGAGTTTTCTAAACAATACTACAGCCAGGGAGAGCATCCATAATTCTGTATGGATGTGCTGCTGATGAGGTATCGAATTCTCTGGAGTGAAGGAGTCCAAAGAAGCAACGCAACCTCTGCATCAGTCCTAGCATAATTGCTTCATAGAAACTGGACTACACCACACCTTTTTGTTGCCACTAGATGGTGCCCAATTCACAATTTAGCAAGGAAGCTTTCTTCAATCCCTGTTCTAACAGTACAGCCTTCTCAGGTGGAAACAATGCAGTGCCTGCTCAGATTAAAGCAAAGGGCTGGATGCCGAGGATTGTGCAAGGGAGCTCCCAGGATGGGATGGACCTGGATCCTGTAACCTGTGCATCCCTAGATGTGATCAGGAGCCCCACTGGGATCTCAGCGCTGTGCCGACTTTGGACTGCAGAGCATTGCCAGAGGACGGCAAGTAGCTGGAAGTGCTGAACGCTGGCAGGGAGATGTCAGGCATTTGAGTCCAGATGAAGTGAGGCTATTGGGAGGATAAAGCGGAGGTGATGAAGGTTCCCATGAGCAGGAATCGAGGTCTCCCCCACCTTACCCAGCAGTGGATTTGTCTTCTCCAGGGAGAGATGGATGGAGAGAAGTGCTGCTATTAGCTACCACCTGCCTCCAAAATGTGAATAACAATAATAACAGCAACAAAATCCCACCAGTGCACACAGTTCAGTTGCTCTCCCTCTGCTGAAAGGTTGTTCATCGAGAGCAGACAAAGGTTTGCCAGGGAGAGCTTCCCCTTGGAAGAGGAGGAGACCACCTCCACAAGAAGACCCGTAGTCCCTTGCTGTGAACTTGGATCAGCTGGGGTTATTTTGGTACTGCCCCATGCACAAATCCTTCTCATCCAGCCAACCATGAGCTTCGAAGAGTGGCAGCGTGTGGCAGTTTAAAGTGTCAGGTTGCTTCTTTTTCCTTTTCTTTGCTAAGTTTGAACAATGATCACTGTCAATTCGGATGGAAAAATAATGGTCAGAAGATGTCTCGTCACCTTGAGACCTTTTAGGTAAAGTTCCTTTTATTGCCCTATTTTCTGTTTTCTCTCTGCCTTTTCAACCTAGCCTGCTTTTAGCACCAGGGGAACAGAATATAAGAAGTCCTGTAAGACTAAAATCTTGTGTCAGTTGCTGTTTTCCAGGGGAATCGATCCCAGATTAAAATGTCAAGAATCCAAGTAAGTGTGTCTTTAGGTCAGTGTGATGGGAGCTGGCATGTGGCTCTGTTACAAGCTGCACGTTGACTTCTAATTTATTCATTATGCTAATATCTGGTGGGTATTGGTTACAGGTTTTTAAATGCCTTTTTAAGTGATGTTTGTACCACACTGGAGAATCAATACATACAAATTAGAAGCTAGCTTTGACTCTCAGTGATAGTGGTGCTAATCCACTGATTATTTATGGGTAAGACAAGATTCACACTTGTAGCCAACAGCAGAATTTGGTCCTAAGTCAGACAGTAATACCTCCCCTTCCCATTTGTATTTGTGCATTTCCACCTACAGTTCCCTGCAACAACTAGAAAGTTTTATGAGTCTTACAGTTGATTTGCCTAAACCCCCTGCAATAAATCTCCCCTTTTTTGGTTCATTAATAATGCAAAGACACATTTCCCCAGTGCTTGCCTGCTTGCTTATTTTGGAGGAAGTACAGCTCATTCACTTTCAGCCAACAAAGGGCACTAATTTGACTCTTATTTGTATGTGTTTTTTTGGGGGAGAGGAATTTGTAAAAACAGGCCAGGATTGAGGGACAACAGGAGCGAAGCAAACTCATCTCAGAAGTTGCAAGTCGCCCAAGTAGTAGAAAGGAGTCTGTGGAGTGTGTTTTAGGAACTGGGGAATCCTGGGTTTTTAACTTGGCAGGTTTGGTCAGAGCTGTCTCTTTCTCTGATGGCATAAGCTTGAAGAATTCTGGCTGATGATATTTCTTCTATCTGGTCTGTCTCTGTGACTGGAGTACTTCTTGAGCGCATAATGATCTTCAGTGGATTTATCCTCACAACACCCCTGGTCAGGTGGGGTGGTGGTAGTAACTTCCTTGTACAGATGGAGACTGAGGCTAACAGAGGCACTAAAGGCCATAGTCACAAAGGTATTTAGGAGTCTAGCTCCCTATCGAAATCCATGCGAATTTAGGTGCCTAAATACCTTTGCAAATCCAGATGTGACTTGCCCAAGGTGGCACAGGAAGTCTGTGGCAGTGTGGGGGAAACTGAACCTGGGTTTTCCAGCAGCAGTGCTATAACTACTGAACCATCCTTCTGTATCCTCTGGCCAAGCTGGGGTGCAGGGAAGTAATTCTGGTTGAAAGTAGGTCACTGAGGGACAGTGTCTCCGCACTAGCTCGGCAGGGACTTTAGCTGCAGTTGCACCACAAACAGGTTGAGGGGTAATGAATGGGGGGAAAGGGTGAGCCAGCAAGGCTGCTCTGTGGAGCAGATGTCTATTGGGAGCAGAACTAGCTACCTGCAGTGACAACTGAGGGAAGGGAGAGGTACATACCTGAGGCTGGGGCAGCTGGGGGTGTCTGGATCAAGTGGTGGGAGCCATTCCTTCTTCAGTGGTCCTCACCCTGGGGAAGTCCTGGCTCCTCTGAAGCACCCAGAAGAACTCCAATAAGCTTAATGGGCAATTTGTATACCCCTGGGTTGGGGCAGGGGCAGACTGGGGCACAAACCTATCCAGGAAGCAAGGGGCCAGTGAGGGACCATAATTGTAGCAATGCACCTGCTGTGCCAGTTGTCATACATTATACACAGGCATCTCGTAGAGCTGTCACTTTTTCTCATGGTGAATGACACTCAGTTTAACAGAAGAGCAAACTGTGTTGCTGTGCTGGGCTTGGGGGCTGCCTTCCACAGGGGGGCATGCCCAGTGCAGCTTCGAGAGGGCCTATTTGCTGATCTTCATGACTGTGCTTATTAAACACCAAGATGAAATTATCAGCAGATGCTTGCCTGTTGGGAGAGAGAATCCTGGAGTGGTAAAATCTTATTTCCAACTGCATCCCAGGAGCTAGACTTGCATAGGACAAACAGCAGAGAGGCACAGGCAAAATCTGATTAAAATAAGGCTGGGGAGTCTGACCAGAATAAGCCCATGAGAGAGCAATACGGTGATGGTGAAAGGTGGGAGCGCTAGCAACAAAGTCCTAAACAGAATTAGGGACTTCGCAATAATCCCTGTGTACCTGGGACCTGATTCTGCTGTCAAACTTGTGTAAATAAGGAACCACTCCACTGAAACAGAAAGGCCTACACTGCTGCTGTTCTGTCTTGAGTGAGAGCCAAATTGGATCTTTTCCTACATCTGACTGTGAAACAAAATACAAAATCTCCAGGAAAATAGAACAGGAATGTGTCTGGGATTGACAAGGTAACTCAGGGGGTTCCCTCTCACAACATTTAAGTATTTCAGTGACCAGTAATTTTTGATGGTTCAACTTGTTAATGGTGTTGTGTTGGGATATTTTAATGTGCAGGAGCTGCGAGGCTAGTATGGCCAGGGAACTGTGCTCAAGTGTCCCCCACAGATCCCTGACTTGTAGTGATCACAGCTTTTCTAAACTTCCCCACCCCCAGCTCTGCTGAGGCACTTCACTACCTCATCTGTTATTCCCCTACCCTACCTATCCTAGTCCTTTAGTTTCCACCTCAACTGGTTGTCCGGATCTTGATCTGTAATTTTCCCTTATTCCTCTCCCTCCCCCCGCCTTTTTTTTTTTTTACTAATCTCCACTGATCTGACAGTGAGTTCGAGTCCTGATTTACAGCAAGCCCTTTTGTCCTGTGTACTTTTAGCCCCTAGATCCTCCAGCTGTAGACCACAATATGGCTGTCCCACAGTCTCTGGTTAGCGGCTGCCTAAATACGTTGAGTCCAGACACAAACTGGTACAAATTAGCATAGGTCCTTTTGAAGTCAATGGACCAGATCTTCAGCTGGTATAAATCAGCAGGAACCCACCGAAATCAATGGGATGGATTGATAACTGGTTCAGACTGACATCGGTCTACCAAATACCAACAGGAGAGTTGGCCTGTTGAAAGGAAAAAGGACATTAGTCAATTCATTCATTACTTACCTTGCCTGATAAGATTTGTAAAGAGACAAAAAGTCCCCAACCCGTAAGTACCCAAGGGATGGAGGAAATTCACTGGTTGGCAGCATTCTGCAAGACACACTAAGGGACATAAAACATTGGAAGAAGGATTTACAGAGTCTTGTGGGATGACTCCTTTTTGGCTTCAAAATCAAAGAGCCCACGAGGGACAGATTCAAGGAAACACCGTCAGTAACTTAGAATTCATCACTAAAGTTACCATGAGGTGCTAATAATGCCATGGTCACAGGTTTGATCTCCATACAGGAAACAAGACCTTTCCTGCCTCAGGCAGGGGCTTGGACTAGATGACCTCTTGATGTTTCTTCCAGCCCAACTTCTTTATGAATCTAAATCGTGGTCATTGACCCAATCACCTGCTTTCTCAGCAGTGGTGAGTGGTGTGAAAGCATATATAGGAAGCCAGAGACATTTGTTTCTTCAGTGTCCATGAATGAATTGATAAGAGCAGGAGAGTGTATTCCATGCCTTCTTTTTATTGCTCCCTTTGAGGATGAATGTTAATGCTTAGCAATTTGCTGTCATTTTCCTCCTTGCTCTGTAGAATAACCCAAGCTGCGAATCCTCCAGTGTTTCAGGACTATGGACAGCTCATCCCCTCACTGGTTGGTAATGAACAGTCTCCTGCCTGCATAAACCCTCCTGTGGTTTATTACGTACCAGCATACAGAAACTCATGGCCAGATTCTTCTCTTAGTTACTATGGTGTAGGTCAGACATGACTTCACACTGTGGATAATATCTATGGATACATTCCACATTTGTAGTAAATTCAACTGAGCAGTTTGGCTCTGTCCTCTCTTGGATAGAATCCCAAAGCCTCTTATTGTGAATATTTTAGTCTGGGGCAGAACTGGAGAAAGGATTGTCACTAAAGGCCTATACAATCAAAGTATCCCAATGCTTAAGCTTACCATGGGATGGTAGTTATACTAACCGCCAAAGAAAATTGTTCCGTGGTCAAAGCTCTATGTTCTCAGTGAGGTAAAACTCATGGACCAGTTTTGGAACATGGAGCCCAGTACAGGTCTGACATGGGTTGTGAATTTCTATTGCTTTCCATGGATTTAATTCTGACTTATACAAGTCTAAGAGTCAGATCAGATTAAGTACATTTGTCCCACTCACTAATATTAGACAACAGCCCAGGTGTCTTTTGAAATTAAACAAAGACCTATCTCCTCTTCAGACATGATCAGAACACAGTGAAAGAGATGGAAACTTCAAGCTAAAATGGCCAAACCCTGAAATCTCTTTATACAAATCTTTATATCACAGCAACAATTCTACTGATCAGAATGCTGCTCCTCTCCTAAGTAACTTCATTAAGATTTGGCCCTGATATATTTTTTTAAGTGTCTGAAATCTTGAGCCTCCCCCGCTTTCTCTGAAACTCATTTGAAATCGTGAAGATTTTTTTCCTTCCTAATGAGATGCTAGAACACACAGCCCCTTTGAAAGATTCTTTTTCTTCAGCAATTGTGGAGGTTTCTTTTTACTTTCTTTCTTTCTCTAGTGGTCTAAATTGTTAATTAAATGCAGTGTTTAACCATCACTCCTTGCGAGATTATAATTATGAAGATTAAAATGCATAAACAAGGTCTTGCATAATGATGAAGATATTATCAATAGGCAGGATTTGAAAGGAGAGCAGGATCAACTCTGATTATTTAAATACCAGTCCCCCAGGTAAGGCTTCATTTAATTTTGCCTTTGGGGACAAGAGGGAGACTGTACCGGGTCAAACGAGACCATCAGGCAAGTCCAATAAATATGATCTTTCTTTGGTTGCAGTGTAGCATTATCATCATTATTTGTTTTACAGTAGTGCTCAGAAGCCCCCACTGAAATCCATGCCAGTAGTGCAGACTTGTGGGAATAGA